CTCTTCACCTCCTCTCCCCCATACTTCCATACTTCATTTGCGATTCCGTCCCCGCCTGCTGCCTTCCCATCTTTCAGACCTTTTATCACCTCTTCTATCTCCTCTCTACTTATTTCTTCTTCCCCCCTATTCCTCCATTGTTTCTTTCTCCCTCCTCTCTCACCTTCCATTCCACTCCCCCTAGCATTTCCTTAAAATATCCTTCCCACTCCTCTATTCTTATCCCCTGCTCTACTCCTTTTCTCCCCCCCCCTTTCTCTTCTTACCACCTTCCATACCTGCCTTTCCGTTCTTATTTTTTCTACTTCCCTTTCCCATTCCTCCCTTTCCTTCCTTTTCTTTTCTTCACATAATGTCTTATATTCTTTCTTTCTTAACTTATATTCTTCCCCCTCTCCCCCCTTCCTTTTCCAATTTCTAAACTCCTCCTTCACTTTTTCTTTTAATTCTTTACACTCCTCATCCCACCATCCTTTTTTCCTAACTCCACCCATTTCCCTTTCCACCTTCTCTATCGCCTCCCTCACCCTTCCTTTCAGCCTCTCCCACTCCTCTCCTACCATCCCTCCCTCTCCTTCACTCCTTCCACAATATTCTATAAATTTCCTCCTCCCTTCCTCTGTCCATATCCCTCTCCCCCTCCTTTTTTTCTTCCCTCCTTTTCTCCCCCTCTCCCTCCTCTCTCCCTCCGCCCATACCGTCAAAGGTTGGTGATCCGACTCCGTGTTCTCCTCCACCAACAACCTTTTCACGCTTCTTCTTGTTTCTCTATCTCCCACCACGTAATCTATCACCGTTCCTCCTCTTCCGCCTGTATATGTCCACTCTCCCTCCTCATCCCCCTCTGTATTTCCATTCATTATTGACCATCCCATTTCTTCTAAAAATCTACATAATCTCCTTCCCTCCCCATTACTCTTCTCATCTCTCGATTTTCTTCCTCTCACCCTTTCCTCATCCCCTTCCTCTCCTCCTCCTCCGGTCCCCGTCCTTGCATTAAAGTCTCCACCTATCAGTGTTTTTACCCCTTCTTCCCTGTTCTCCATCCATTTTCTTAGCTTCTCTATTTTCCTATCTAAATTCTTGTTCACATATACTCCTATTATCCTCCACCATTCTTTTCCTATTTTTACCTTTATGATCATCATTCCTTCTTCCTCATCTTCCTCTACTTCCCCTTCTATCTCTGTTTCCTCCCTTCTTCCCATTACTATCCCTCCTATCGCTCTACCTTTTTTATTCTTTTTCCCTGCCTCTTGTATCTCCCATCTATATCCTTTTGGTAACCACCTTTTCACCTTCTCCCACCCTTTCTTCTGCACCCATGTCTCACTCATGTAAATTATATCCCATTTTCTTATTCCCTCCCAGAAGTCCTTATCTTTATTCATTAATCCTGCAACATTCCAGAAACCTATCTTGTATTCCTCTTTTCTCTTTACTTCTCCTTTCTTTTCCTTTTTTCTTCTCCTAACCTTTCTCTGTCTCTCTTCTTTCTCTTCCTCTTCCTCTCCCCCCCTCCTGCTCCTTTCTAGAAAAACTCATTCCCCTCTCTTTCTTTTCTAATTCCTATCTCCTGTCCCTCTATTAACTCGTCCTTTTCCTCGTCCCACCTCCATAGTTTCCCCTCTACCCACATTTTCATATATCCCACCCTTACCCTTTGTCCCTCCCTTCTTTTTCCTTCCGCTTCTCTTCTAATTTTCCACTCCACTCTCTTTTCCTTTTCCGTCAAATCGTCTCTTATCCATTCGTTTCTTTCTTTTAAATTCTTCTTTCCTTTCATCACCTCAATTTTGTCTCCTACGCTTGCGAACCTGACCATTACAATTTCTTTACCTTCTTCATTTCTCCTCCCTACTCTCTTTATTTCATCTATCCTTACTTTCGCTCCTGTTTCCTTCACTATCTCTTCTACCTCCTCCCTTAATCCTTCCCACCCTTCTTTCTTCGCCTTTACCCCTTTTATTATAACGTTTCTTTTTCTTTCTTCTCTTTCCTTTTTTTCTCCGTCTATTTCCG